AACTGGATGACCAAATGGGCATTGCGAAAATACAACGGTACCCATAGCAATCAAATTTTGAATAACGTACTCCTCCACCCGAATATGAGCACCTAGAAGTTCGACTTTGGTTTATTATTTTATTTCATATTTTATAAAATCTTAACGAATTTTTGATTAAAGATCTCAACGATTTCAAAGCGAGCAGTGGCACTGTACGGAATAATTATCTCCAGCGAGTAAGACTGAATATCGAAAATCCTAATGATATGCTGTTTTAAATATTTTTAGCCCAAATGCTTTTGAAACGTGTATGTGCGTGTAAATGAAAAAACGCCCTTTGGAGGGCCTTTGGAAAAAACGCCAAAATATAAAACTATATGTTTAAGAATGTATGTCTATGTGTTTAAGAATTTACCGTGATAGCAGGAAAGACAATAAAAACGGAAAGTATAGTGTCATAAGTTTACAACCCCTACCTGAACAATATATTACTGTATATCAGTTTATGTCCTACGCCACGCCTGAACATGTATCACCTCAAGCTGCGATGTTCTTCCATCGTTAGCACATTACACCAAGTGACGACGAACATACTCTAAAATATTCCTAATACTTGTAAAACACTAATGTGAATATTTTACATATGAGATGCCAGAAAATTAGGTACAAAAGTTCACAGAAAACCTGATAATTTCAACTGAGAAACTGATAAATTCACTGAGAAACTGAAACTTTTACTGTTGTTACTGCAGGATAAAGTAGCAACAGTAATAATTATACAATTATGTTTTTGAATCGAACTTCTAGCTTAGACATTTTTTCTTCCTTTTTTCTTCCTTACATTGCGGCTTAAATTTATGCTGTTCTTTATCATTGTAATCTAAAAGTAATTGTTTCCTACCTTCTATTTTATTCAACGTCTAAAAAACTCGTAAAACTTTACACTGGTGTAATTTGTTTTCATTTGTACTAAAATTACATGGTTTCTAAGAATTAAAAGAATGGCAATTAACTACGTTGTGCCAATTATGTGCAGTTATAAACTAGTAATTTTTAAATTTTTTACAACTTCCTAAAAAGCTGAGACTTTTTCTCACTTGCATCACAATAATTCAAAAGATTTGTACCAATCTTAGTTATACGAGGATTAACTTAGAAACTCCTTTCTCGTTACGGGAATCTTTTTAAGATTTTTTTCCTTATTTTATGGAAGTGTTTGTTTCGGAGGTTACTTATTATAATTTTTCAGGTGAACCGACTATGATAGACTTTTTCGGATAAATTGAAGCTAAAATTAAGAACTAGAATCCAGGTGTTTAGTGGACTTCACGGATAGAATTGTAGACTTTTAATGGCTTAGGCTAGTTGCGTATTTCAAAAAGTAGTGTTTTTGGTCTTGCACCTTTTTTCATGATAGACTATGTTATTGTTCAAATAAAAGTTTTTCATTAGTATTTAGTTACCTGTAAGTTTTGTATTCCTACGTTAACAGTCAATTGCCTTAATATTTAAGTAACATAAGCTAGGTCCAAATCAAGATTATGTAAAGGATTTAATTTCAGAGCTCCAATATGAATTGTTTGATCACATCTTGTAGTAAAGGTACATTTTGTTAGTAAAATGTCTTAATAATAAGAAGTTTCTTGCTATTAAAAATATTTCACAATGACGAATTTTATTCATTAAGTCAATTTCCGCAATTTCCAACTATCCTTGAAGTAAGTGGGAAATTAAAAATATGATTATCCAGTAGAGTTCCATATTCGCGTATAATTTTGGGTTCGATAAAAATTTATTAATGGCTGGGCTCATCAACGGCTGAAAAGGCTGCTGAAGGGTGATAGTGGGACTTAACGGTCTGATCGCATATGCACTTTTAGGATTTTCTGGATGTGTAACGCGATTACGAGACAACTACATTGGGAATGTCCTCAACGAAGGCATCCCTTCCTAAAAGCGGAAGCCTTTACTTTGCTTTGTAATAATCTAATAAATCTAATCCATCCTATGAATATCCGATAATTAGAAAGCATTTCTGAGCTAGAACCTCACAGGAAAAAGAACATTATCTATTATACTGCAATCTATTCATTCACATCATAAGTTTAGACCGTCTTCTGCTTAACTTCTTTGATCTGACAGAGTCTATATCAAGTTCATGCATTGATGATGGCTAAGACAGAGCCATTGCCTGCTGAACAAGGCTTTGAGACAACACTAAAAATCACAGGCGACGGAAATCGAGGCTATATTATTTCTTTTTCCCTATCATCAGCCTCGTGAAGGGACTTTGCACTCCCCCATTTTTAACATCCTCTATGTCTCACGGGCACTATACATTTGCAAACACCCATGCCTTTTCTGGAATTCAAAGCCAGTCATATGACAGTCATCTTCGCTAATCATCATACCGAAAAGAGCGGCATGATGAATATAATATCGTTTGATAATATAAATTAATGAGAAACAAAGATTATTTAGATATGATTTAACTGTATTACTATTATTGTACATATCTGTAACTATTTAAATCCTTTTTATTGCATTGCCATAATACTGTGCATTGGTTTGCTTAGTTACTCGTTAATTTGCTTTGTATTTATTGCCACATATTTTCAATAAATCTTTGTTTCTCATTTGGAATTGTTGATCTTTCGGTTCTCAGCATGGCTACGTTTAAATTGTAAACATTAGCTCATATATAACATGACATATAAGTAAATAAGCTTCTCACGGTCCTTGGCCACCAAATCTTCGCAAAACTTCGTACTGCGCCAGACCCGTGCTCGTATTATATTACATAAATGCGGCTCCAAGAACTCAGATGAGTTTTCATCCTCGTACCGAATTACATTAATTAGAACTTCAAACTCTTGGTCTCCTTTACGGAACTGTTTGAAGTTTTTGGGAAATGCTGCTAAGAACAGTAAAATCATAGAATAACCGCTGCAGTATCTCAGTATAGGACGAGTTGCTATGTTGTTACTAGTTGTTATTTGACTGTGAGATTTATCAAGCGAATGGCAATTTAAACTTTATTCTGGAAGTGAATCTGGCAACTGATGATATTTCTGATGTGCTAAAGACTTACTTAATAACCATGTAATACTTGAGCTATTTGCTGATATTTATTGAGCTTCGCATATTTAAATTTTTGTAATAAACTGTTAATTTATTCCTATTGCCTGGAGTGATCATTTAGAGATATATCAATGAACTCGTAGCCTGCAGCAATATAGTACTATAGTTTACAAAACATAGTAGATATTGCAAGTAACAGCTAATAATGTAACAGTATTACTGATAGCAGATATTTCTCAACAAATGAAATGTTTAAAAGCCTGCAGCGTATATAAAACAATTGAACGTTTTCATCAAGTGGAGGACTTTTCACTGTTTCTTGGGAACATCGCCAGCAAAATATGCTGGCATTGTTCCCAAGGATAATAATCACTAGCATTCCCACTTCGCATGCGGATATTTAAGGCTTTCTTTATTACTTAAAAGTAATATGTTGAAAACATTGGAAAGTTACCGAGAACTGCGGAAATTCTCTTCACGTGTTACTGCAATGGTTCGACTTCGGTTTACTAAATTGGTAGAATTATTCAGATGAAGATTATCAGCGTTATACGGAACGTTTTAAGCAGATACTTGTAAACACCTCAATTCATCCCAATGCTTACAACAGAAAAGAGTTGTTGATTTAAACAGCACTATACTACGCAATCACAATCAGTTCCTGGTCTATTTTTACGTTTGTTTACATTTCAGTCATTGTCACATTTGCCGCGTGAAAGGTTGCGAAGTTTACGTGTCAATATGTCGGTTAATTTTAACTTTTAATAACATACATGTGTTTATTTTATGGTAATAATCATACAATAGGCCCCAGATGCAATTTTGGATATTACAAAACTAAAAATAATTATCAAATTAAATTAATTAAGTAGGCTTAAAAGTTTAAACTTCTCTTACATTTTGTGTTGTATTACATAAGATATACATATAATATGCGTATATGTATGTATAATCCAGACATTTTCAACATTAAGCTTAAGAAGAAACTAATATTTTAAAATGAAGATTTTGCATTTCAAGTAACTAAAGAACTCATATTTTATTTCATAACAAAGGTACTGCAAAATATTATTTAATAAATATTCATTCTTTTAATTGAGCTTTGAAAGTAGCTGAAACCTTGAAATATTTAAAGTGTATATCGTGAATTAATGATTATAATCTATGGTCACAAACAAACAAGTCTATTTCTTCATCAAATAAAATTCATTTCTAAGCTTGCATAATGCTTCTCATAAATAATATACACTATTTTAAATAAATTAAATTCTTAAAATAGAGTTTATTTTGAAAGTCATATACTTGTTTCCTACAATATATTCTCTACAGAAATTAGATTAAATGCTATATAATTAAAATAATATATATCAAGTTAGACCATACAAACTTCTGACGTTTTTCTCAATTTCTTTTTTTTTTCTTTTTGATTGTTTATTTGCTTGTTTCAAAATAAACACAACATTGTAATAAATCAAGTTTCAGTTTTACAGATAGGAAATGTTAATGCATTTTCATTTAAATGTAAATGATTTTCTTTATCATTATGCAAGTATTTTGGGGCGATTTTACTTGGAATGCACTTTATCTTAAATTCCATATTACTGCAGTAATGTAATGAGGTACCTTTGACTAGAATAAAAAGCTTATTAGACTTCATGTTGTTTCCAAGGCAACTAGGAGAAACCATATGACGTTTCCCAAGTGTAAAATTATCAGCCGCTGCTTCAATCATTTAAATCTTGATTTCTTCAAATTAAGGTGAATAAAGGACCTAGAAAAATTTATCTTCTTTAAATTTTAAAATATTAGTTTATTTCCAAAGCAGATTAAAGACCAACTAATCTTTTAGTTGAAGCTGAAATTATTTCTGCTATTCTATTTTAAGCTGAAATTAAGATAGCTGTTTACTTCAAATTTTAAAATTACGTACGTTCTTCTTAGGTATGGATCATTTATTAAAATAATTATTTTTATCCTACGATACGCAACAAACTTTCGAAGTTTCGCTTTCTTCGCAAGTTGATTGCCGTTTAGTATACGCAGCAGTAACTGTTAAATTAGCAACTGTCTTGAAACTCACAGCAGATCTCAGAGACCTTATGTTACCATCATTTCTACTAGGTAGATTACGAAGTTTTTGTTTGGATTCTTCATTTTCAGGATCAGCTATGGCAAGAACAACGAAACTGCCATCGACACCCCCAACAACAACTGACAGACCATCATGGGTAGTAGTGAAATCACTGGCTTCAGCGGCTAATTTGTAATTTGCAATCATCTTTCCATTACTAACACGAAACAATCGTATTGTTTGCCTTCCACTGTGGTAGTATAAAACATAGTTGTCAGTTCTGTTGAATTTCGCAGTAACGGCAAATACACCTTCACTAACAGGTGGTATAAGTACCTTTACTGTTTTTCCGTTCCGTAGTTCGATCATTTCTAAGCCACCCTGGTTAGGGGCGACTAAACCGTACCTTCCGTCCCTGGTGCAGGCTCCATTCCACCTTTTGATTCCACGAACAAGTCTCTTAGTTTCAATATCAACAATCCATGATGCATCATTGCTGACGATGACGATGGTCGATGCTCGACCAGGAAACTGGAAGATCCCGCTAAATCCCAAAAGTTGTATGCTGACCAGAGGTATTTTGAACATGAAATTTCCCTTCTTAATATTATGCACCAGAACCACTTTTTGAATTCCATCCATGCTTAGTAATCCAAGGTTCACATTGTTTTTGGTAATGACTGCAGGTGACGGAACTTCACACGGAAAGTTGAAAGAGTATGATAATTCACCAGAAGGCACCTGTCGCATGGAACACTTCGATTCCTTATCACTTTCAGATGTGATGACAATGATAATCTTATCTTCTATTCCAAGAAGTAACTGTTTGATGTTTGCATGCTTTTCACGAAATATGACACATCCCTGCGAAAGAAAAAAAGGCAGTGAAGATACAAGAGTTATTATAAGGAAGTAAAATTAGCAATTTTTATAGCATTTAGCAGCTTCTTACCATTTTCATTAATAGTATGCGTACCTCCTCATAACAAAACCTAAACCATACTTTGTATACTATTAATTCTTATCGAGCATTTATTTGGATTTTATAAAAGATAGGCAGAGTATGGACCGATTGTGTTACCCAACTCCGATAGATATTATAATGGAAGTAAAGTGGATCATATATTCTCTGACCTCGATCAACACGATTCTTGTTGGCACCTTTCCAAGCGTTTAAACCATTATCTACAAAAATATTCACTTGCTTGGCAACATAGAAAGACTCAGGTAAGACAAAGTTTCCAAAAACATTTTAATGTGCTTAGAAAAACATTTAACTGGACTAAGTTACTACAATATCCGCTAAGTTTGTTGCAAAAGCTGTTCAAATATTAAAAAAAATGCTAAAATATTATGGAAACTTTTGGAATGTACAAAATATTTTCAGATATACCTTATTGTAATTTACACTAAATAATAAGAAGGAGAAGCTAATCCTTCCTCATTAAATATTCCTACTTAGTTACTCATTTGAAACTATGTTTCAGATCACTAATGTAAGGTTAAATATTCATATTATGCGTGTATAATTTCTATTCCCATAAGTAATTATTTATTAATTCTTTCTTCTTGAAAGTTATGAGTGTTTATGAATATCTGTAACCCTTAATACACTGACTACCAATAAGAATTTAGACACATGTGATAGAAAAGAAAAACTAACTTTATTCAAAATCAATAGTTGGTAGAGCCTCCACGAGAGGTAATTACAGCGTGGACCCTCCGGGGTATACTTTCCACAAGTCTTTATATGACAGCTAGTGGTATTTTCTTCCACTCGGCTTGGAGAAGACATAGAAGTTCGTTCACCGATTTTGCACGGGTAGTGCACCCCTGAATTCGGCGATGCAACTCGTCCCAGAGGTTCTCGATAGGATTCAGGTCTGGACTCTATGCAGACCAGTCCATTCGATGAACTCCATTGGCACCATACCAAGCCTTGGTTAACGTCGAAACATGACAACTGGCATTGTCGTCCTGAAAGTAACAGGGGTCCAACCCGTAAAACTGCCACAACGTAGGAAGCACATTGTCATCCAAAATAGTGCAGTAAGCATCGGAGTTGAGCTTACCATGAATGGGGACCAAGGGTCCCAGACCATAATTCCACCTCCGCCGAACTTGACTGTTGGCACAATGCATTCTGCCAGGAGACGTTCTCCAAGTAGACGCCAGACCCAGACCCTGCCATCCGAAAGGTAAAGGGTGAACCTTGATCCGTCACTCCAAAGAACCCGTTTCCACTGATCTACAGTCCAATTTCGATGTGCTTTGCACCACATTAACCGAGCAGCACGGTTGGACTTTGTGATCAAAGGCTTATGGGCAGCAGCACGACCATGAAAACCAAGCAGATGTGCTTCCTTACGGATGGTATTCATTCAAACAATACTCCCGGATGCCTGTTGAAACTCCTCGCGGATGAGGGCTATCGGTTGGGTGCGGTTCTTCCGAATTTCTCTGAACAGCATACGTCGGTTTCTATCCCTCAGTTTCGTTGGTCTGCCGACTCGGGGCACATTCCGACAATCACCGCTCACCTTCCACTTCTTAATCACATAGGCCACTGTCGATATTGGGTACTTCAGATCGCTAGATATGTCCCTTAAGGATCGGCCACATTTGTGATACCGATAATTATACCTTTCTCGAAATCAGAGAGCTCCGAACTGCGAGGAATCTTGCATGCGACTAAAGCCGATGCTGTTTCCTACACGATATATACCGGCGGAGTCCGTGGCGTACCTTGGGACCGCAGATATCGTCATTAGCATTAGGTGTCCAAATACGTATTGGTAGTCAGTGTATGATAGTGCTAGCAAGCGTCAAACTGCAGGAGAAAAATAAAAATATATTTTTAATTCTTTAAAATTTTGCAGTTGCGTACATCAATCATTTAAATCTATTCTTGTAATTTTTTATTACAATTTATCGATTACTTTTATCTTTAAACTGCCTTCTGGTTTCTAACAACTGCCAAATTTTCTTTTACGCTCTTCAAAAAAAAAAAAAAAATTCTGAAACTTGATCGCAGAGTAATTTTAAAATATATATTACATATTTTGTTGCTTAAATGATAACAATATTTTATTACTATTTGCAATATTTGTGTTTCATACTATCCTCGTCTCTCAATGCGTAAAAGACACGTGTATTAGTTTCATTACCAAAAATTGGTAAATAATATGGTAGCATCAATTGTGTAGTTTTTCTGACATACTTAGACCGGTCCGGGTGAGATACCTACGGTATATAGTTTCGAGGGTGTCAAAGAATATTCAAGCTTAATTTATTAAGAGTACGTTGAGTTGTATTGAAACCATAACTTTTACTTTCATATATATTTAAAAATAAGATTTTTGTCATATATTAAAATATAGTTTTTACCCCAAGTAAAAGTTCTAGTAAAATGCAGAATTTTATCATCCTTTTAATACATTTGTTAAAAAGTGCGGTTTTTAACAAAGGAACATGTCATATTTTATACTCATCTTTTTTCAATAAGATTGGAAGGATTCATTGCATTCCTCTTGCATACTTTGGAGGTGTAAATGATTAGCACATCTAGCTGGCAGCGGGGTGTTGAATGGCTCGACTTTCGACAGAGGCACAGTAGGTGTCTAACATTCCCACTTCTGAAAAGCCTAAAACTGTTTAAGATTTTCAGAAGGCTCTAGACCTTTCTTTAGGCCTAGAGTTTCTGAAAAGCCGTCATCACATGATGTCCATCAGTATCACGTCTACAAACTACCCTCAACAGCACGACGGCAGAAACATTTCCCAGAAACTTTATTTTCGGGATATCTGATTGGTTGACTTGTGCGAAAATTATTTTAGAGAAATCGTACAAGGAAGAGCCCTTCAAACTAAACATTTTCAGTTCAGTTTCCAAAAGTCTCGTGTAGCGAACTGGCTTTCAATGAAGCATGTTTCGGCTAAGAACCCTTTAGTGGTAAGCACTGGACTAGCTCCCTTCTAGGAAACGTTTCTTCTAGCGTCTAGCCTCATGCGTCTTCAGATGTGACAACGCCGTAATAAATCTGATACTGGTGCTCATGATGGACATCTCAACATCACTTGGATTTGGTCTACCGGATATCGTGCTTTTTTCCAGTTGCCTCTTAGCGGGACAAAATATAAGAAAATACCGCAATTTCCCTATGTGCTCTTGTAAGTGGTTGGCATATCCAGCTAACAGATCGAAGATCCGTAGTTCAAATCCCGAATAGAGTACAATGCTATTTTCGTGTTTCCTGTTTCAAAAGCTTAATATGCTTTTACAAAGTTACGTTATCTGATATATTCATTATTCCTGTGTACTTACTCTTTAGTATTTCACATCTAACATCCCCCTTAGAAACTAACATTGACAGACTTTGGAAATCTATAACCGCGGATCACCGAGTGACCCATTTCATAATTTTAGATGACCACTCGAGTTCCGAATATATAATATACAGAAATAAATTATAAAACATAAATACGAAATCAGCATTTGCAAAATACATAAAAAGTAAATTTAAATAATAACAGTAACACTTTTGTTTGATTACAAAGTTGAAGTACCGAGCATGCATTTATATTTTTTAATAAAAATTCTAACATAATTTCAAGGAGAAATCGATAAGTTTTGCAAAGCCTATCCATAATCCATAATTTTAAAAAATGCCTTTAGAATTTTGCAAGCAACTTATAAGTGTAAGATAATATTCTTATGGATAAAATTTATTTTCAATGAGAAGAGAAGCAGCTTAACTACCGAAAATTCAGATGCCTGAATTCGTCTTAAGACAATTAACTATAAACCAGTCCTGACTAGATGTCACAAATTGTTAGCATCAAGGGACCCATTGCTATTTAAGAGAAAAATAAGTTCATTAAGTTTTTAAAACAATTAAAATTATAGTTTTAATTTTTATGTTTAAAACTGTATGCGTATTGTAATTATTTCTTCCATGAAATTGATCTTACTATTCAAAGGAAGACTGTTCTAAAATGAAAATACCACTAACCCGGAACGTCTTCTTAATACACAAATTTTGGTTGCTTTTGACCCGCAGCCAAACATGTTTGCCGACGTTTGTAAGAGAGCATAAAATATATGCATATGTACAATATACACAAATGAAAAGGCTGTATTACCACTCTTTGGCTTTTACTTTGTCAAGAGATGGTTAGCCACTGAGTAACAAACCCCCTTCTTCTGAAGAATCTTCTTTCTTTTCCGTACACTTAAAATTAACGAAGGTACTAAATACAGGATGATTATAATTAAAGTTGCAATTTCAAAACGCACTAACTTTAAAACTACCGGTCAGAATGACTTGATATTTTACCAGAACAATCGTGAGGCAATAGAATTTTGCTTGGTGAAGAAAAGAAAAAATAGTTCCAAAATGTGCCTATAGATGGCGTTGTTAGGGTTCACACGGCTTTTGTGGAGGAATGCACATTACTAAGACATATTACATGTGCCGCACAGACATAGCTGTAATAAAATGCAGAACACTAGCGGAGCACGTAATGCTTTGCCTGAGTGCTTCATCATGGCTGACAAAGAAGGACCGCGCTCTGCCCGTGAATCTTTTCTATCAGAACGGTGACTCTGCGTTAACAGCTATCAGGAAGTTCTGGACATGAAAAGGCATAAAATTCGGCCTCATGACCACTTAACGGCCCTCGGAGAAATGATAGATAAATTCGAAAAGACGTTTATTTGAGGTGAAACGAGGTAGCGAACAAAAATCAGTTACGGCGGCGGCAGGTACAAGATGGGGCCACAACATTCATTACAAGAATAGACGAATAGTGATGCAGGAATCAGCAGTTTACGGTTATCAGCAAGTTGCGCAATGTCCTATGGAACATCTTGCGCTGTTATCCGTGCAAGATAACTCGTGTACAGAAGTTGCTACTTGCTGACCTGGAAACACGTGAATCGTTTGTACATTGATTTCTTGCCTGAATGGAAGTGAACAATGGATGGCTAGAGAGCATTCTGTGGTCTGGAGAAACCCATTTCCATTTGCAAAGTTTTGTAAATACTCAAAATTGAAGGATATTAGTGATTTAGAATCCGTTCACGCTACAGCCATTACCTCTTCAGTCTAAAAATGTCACTGTGAGGTGCGGAATAATTGTAGCGTTTGTCATCGGTGCGTTCTTCGTCAAGATCACACCTGCGGTCCCGTTAACTGCACCATTTTTGTCAAGCAGTATGAAGCATTTTTGCTTAACCATGTCCTTGGGGCAATTCTGCAGCGTCAGTGTGCGGATCGCACAATATTCATGCAAGATGTTGCTCCTCCGGATATTGCTACTTGTGTGAAGCAGCTGCTGATCGCTCATAAAATTATAAGCCGCCATTCTCCAACAGGGTGGTCGCCACGTTCACGCGACTAAACCCGTGTTATTTTTCTGGTTTCGAAGATACCTGAAGAATGTTGTTTATATTGGGTAAATTGGAAATCTGGCCGACTTGGAGGCAAGCATCACGCACCACATTCATAACATCAGCACAGATATCTTCCTAACTATTGTGGAGCATGCCATTTTGCGCTTCCAACTAGTAGCGGAACAAGGCGGAACCCATATCGAACAACATATGCGTTAATCATCCGTTAGGTGTTTGTTTCTTGAAGCTCCTCTTTTTCTCTTGCCACTGTTATTGGTTTCGCTCTATACACGTATTATTCAAACTGTTCGCAGTGAACATGTCTTTTCGCCTGTCGTAAACCCTTGTAGTCTGTTATTTCCTTTTGTCTAACAACATTCCTGTGTTTAACCATTAGAAATTTCCCCTGATAGCGCCATCTATCGGCACATTTTTGGAACTATTTATACTTCGCCAAACAAAATTCCATTGCCTCACAATTGTTCTGGTAAAATATCAAGTCATTCTAGCCGGTAGTTTTAGAGTTAGAGCATTTTGAAATTGCAACTTTAATTATAATCACCCTGTAAATAAATAAACGTTTTTTAGCACTTCCTAAAATTAAAAGTGCCTCTCCTACAAAAATAGTGTCTCTGTCTCAGTTTTCATAAAAATGTAAAATGCAATAAGTAAAACTTTAAACTTTATAAAAGCTCCAAGATATATAAACAATATGAGACTTGATTTACTAATTTATGTTAATAAAATTATAAAACTAATAATTAATTCGCTTCAATAAACTACAGTGAAGGAAAATAATTACAAAAAACAGTATCCAAGGTTGAGGAATCAACTTTCTTCTCGTCAAGATGTTTTCTTAGATTGTAGACTATTCCAGCTTTTGATGACTGTCTTTGAATGAATTTCATAAGAATTTTATTTACTTTCAAGCTTTCAACGAGAAAAATACTTGTTGTTGTTCTATCTAGGTACATTTAATCCGCTTTAATCTATCGCATTAATTTTAGCAAATACTTTCTTGGAGATACTAGTAAATGACCTTAATGGTAGGAAAATTGATTTTTTTTTTCTTTTGTAGTAGAGCCTTATTTCTTGGAGACTGACAATGCTAAGATACGGATAATGCCCTGTAAGCTGATCTGTGTTGGTCTTGTTTAATTTAGTTTCTGGGTAGATGTTGCTGCTCTCAATGAGAGTAAAGGTATTGAAAGTTATGATATGATCGACATAGCTGTAGGTCTAGGTAATGTTTTGTAAATCATTAGATAGGAGTGCACGAAGGCATTGAAATTCTTTAGAAAGAAAGATACAAATTACAGATATGCGACGAAACATTTGTGCCCATTGGGATGTCTGTCACACACACACATAAAACCCCAACCATTTCTGAGTAACCCCTTAATACTTCAGCTGTTTTGGCGGTGTTTCGTGAATTAAGTTGAAACAGAAAAAAACCATGACTTCTTTAATAGGGAAAACGATATTTTGTGCACCTTTTTAAAAACATTTTTACCTTTCTCAAGCTCCAAATAAGAAGATTCCCTGATTCCGAACTTATCACATGACGTCCATCGGCTGTGATCACAGCATGCGTTACAATGGCCCCCACAGGTGAATCCACCAGTTTACTCCATAGTTTACCAGTCGGTACACTCCAGACACCAACGCTGCTTCTGGTAATAGTTACTGCCAATTCATCATCGGCAGAAAGAGTGACGGCATCAATGGCCATATCCATGCGATCAATGGTGTAGACTTTCTCGAAAATGTTCTTGATGTTCCAGACCTTTATAAATAAAAGACAATAAGTATTTTCAGACTGTGGAAATTATTTTATGTTTTACCAACAGTTATCTTGATTTAAACTCTGTCATATCTTTCCTTAATTCATATAACATAGGTTAGAATAGGTACCTTAATTCTGTGCCACGAGATGGCGGTTCTACACAGTCACATTTTAATGTCTTGAAAATAGCATGCTAAAATTGAAATAGCTTTACGCGAGTAGAAATAACTTAAAATGCGCATAATCGTTTTCTTATTTGTAAAACTGTTTCAAAAAGAAAAATGTATGATATTTTGCCTTGTATTATTTTTCTCAATTTTTGTTTTTAAATAAATGTTTCAAGCATAGTTTCATTACGTTGTATTTTGGATAATCACAAATATAACATTAGTCTAATTATTGATTTTTATTCATATTCTATACGAATGTATATACGTTATACTTAGTTATTGGTGGGGGAATAATGTTAAGACAGTCGACCGTAGCTGTTCACAAAATCGCATTGCAAAGTGTGTGTTGATTTTTCTAAGTGTCTAAAAGAAGTTTCCTTTTGTGTGAATCCAATTCATTATATTTTTTTCAGTAGATGCATATGTAAGCAAATGACGCGTTACACCAAAAAATGGTGTTATTTTTGCTATTAGAAAAATATACTTTTTTTCCCAGTTGAGCTGGAACAGGTGTCATACCAGAAAGTTATGTAAATTAAATCCTCCGCAAGAGAGTTTAAAACGTAGCGAAGGCTAATTTCAGTTTATGCCTTAAGAAACTAAAACCTGCCTTGCTGTTCATCAGAGCTAATGCTAATGTGTTCGGAAAGAGTTATTACTGGTCGGAGCCAGTGCCTTTGTGGCATGAGATAGGCAAGACCCCTTTAAAGAGATTGACTAAAGTTAAGACCAGGTGACTTCTCAAGAGATGATTTTAGTAACTGTAAATTTTAAAGCAGATAGCCTAATGTAGTAAAAATGTGTGTCGATAAGAAACCGATCCTTTTCATTGTAAATTGACGCTTCACTTGTAACCCACTAGGACTTCACAAACGAACTTCTCTTGAATTTTAAATCTGTGCCCTGCACATATGTAAGTTGATTGTAGCGAGGGAGATAATTAGCAAAACGTTTTAGCAAATTATGTTCAATAAAGTATTGTTAGTTGAATATGCTTTAAGATAGTTTATGTGGTAGCATTGCATGATGTTTCAAACGTTTTTCAACACACGAATATTGAATAAAAATTGATTTTCAAACATAAAATTTAAAGCAAATCACAATTTCATACTATGGCTTTTACTGTGATGTAAGTGATTTTACTGTCTACTGTTAATTTCAGTGTTTCCGCTTCGGCAAAATGGTAGTGTGCGTATGTTACTTCTTCGGCGATTAATTAAGTTTCAAATTTCCAGTAAAGGAGACTGTTATCTTTTCAGAAATATTGGCATTTTAAGTCCATCGAGCCTGATTTTCTGCTGAAAGATTTGTGACAGGTGAAGAGATAGATTATCTCTTGACTCCCTCCTACGGAGATATTACCAGACGAAAATTGGATGCCTCAAGCAAAGCATAACGATCACTACCAATTCTTAACGGCTGTGAACAAAACCATATGCAAAAGCGATCCTTCATAATTATTCCCGTAAACTTAACGGTATGGTTTCGAATCCAGAATTCGTAAAGAGCCACAATGGCGAAAATAATTTTTTATATTTTGTCGTAATACACGGTTAATTATTTAATGTTGCCAAAGGACTAAAAAATTAACTGGCTCTTAGATGGATAACTTCTCTGAGTAAAGCTAACTTCAGGAAGCAAGAAAAACTAGCTCATATGCATGCTAACACGAGAAATCCATGAATATCCATTGCAGCCACCCTTTTGCAGGAAACTACCATGAGCTTTAGTGACTGTGTATATAAATGTTATGTGTGCCGTAGTTTATGATACTTATTTTCATTCTTTGACTTGCAAATAGGCTATGTAGCTTCTGCTTCCTTTTGTTAATAATTGCTTTAACTGCCTTAATTGCCAAAAATGTATTTATTAATGCCTTAAATATCCAAATTATTGTATAAGTTGAGTCCCTAGATTCATTGCCTTCAACTATCTGTAAATTTTCGGTGCGTGGTTGTTCTATGCATGGAAACCATAATTCAAACCTATGCTTCTTAACTCCAACAAAATAATTTGAAAAAACAAATATTATTAAATACTGTAAATCTTATAAAAAAATAAACTTTTTTAAACAACTCGTTATCTATACTCACAGGGAGAAAGCAGATGAGAATACTATGCGACTTTATTTCCGAGGATGGTTGTTTATGTAATCCGAAACCAAATCACCATACAGGTTTTTAAATATCTAATTAAAAAAAGTGTGAAATGGATTGCAGAATAAATATTCTGCAAAGCGGGTTAAGCTCATTACTCGAGGAATTCAAATAAAAGGTAGTGGCTTATTCAGAAGAGACAGGTTGTCCCAAAATTATGCTGAACTTTCAAACTTAACGACAATAAGGATAACTGAGTACTATATTTGGCTACTGATACAAGAAACAGATTTACATTTCAATCGCAAAATACAAAGAATTTCTAAGAACGCTTTTACACTCCTTATTCGAAGAAATATTAATGGTGATATTTTTGTAAGTTTCATACAGCTTTTATTTCGTTCATATTAGTCATTATCACTATATGTGCTAATTCAACGGGCAAAAAATATGAAAACGTGAAAAAACGCAAAATAAGGAAAAAACAACCTTAGATGGGAGTAGATTCTAAATAAAATTCTATTGATTTCGAGGGCGATTTTAAAATCAAAATTTTTCATTTTGTCTAATTTATAGAAAAACACAAACTCACTCTTCAATATAATTTTTTTCAACAACACATTCTCAGCGAAATTGATTTGATTTCATACTGATGTAACCCTGGTCATGAAAGTATAATATCTAATTATTTTCTATAATTTTCAGATTATAAATAAAACGAAGCAGAGGAAAAAAGCTGCAATTTATTGCTTATGTAAGTCTTATGATGATCTCATAGCTAGAGAACCTAGTCACAAAGTTTTGAGAAACAGAGACCATTCATTTTAGTATACTGGTATTAAATTCCGAAGCTTAAGTGCTGGATGCCTGATAATGGAAAGCCTAGCTCGTCTCAGTCAGGCAGAAATGATTCTTAAACATGAAAAGTCTTAAACCTTAAAGTCTGAGGTTCTCAATCAATGCAGAATTCTTTCTCCCAAGGGGGGATGTGATCCGTCTTTTATTTAGTGGTTACGTATTTAATTTTAGTTTTTTATAAACATAAAAAAACTACTTGTAATCAAAAGTTTAGTGTTTACCAACATTTTCTATATTTTTATGCTTAATTTATAAAATACATTAAAAAGTAATCTAAATCTTAAATAAATGTATACACGTATTTTTCAGGATATGTTCGATCAGGGTTTCTTAAACTTTTTTCAGTCGCGACCTCTTTTTATCACTGAGATTTTTTCGCGACCCTCAGGACCCCATAATATTTACAAAAATTTTATGGGGGCCCCCATAAGTATTGCACAACTCCGACACACGCGGGAGTGAAACTGTCGATTTTTTTACATGTACTGTACTATACTATTGCAGTTTTAGGTCATTAGATTTAATTTCTAATTTTAAGACATAGGACAATGTGAAAATTTTAAATAATTTAAAGACGAAAGGACAGCGTCACGTGCAAAGCAAGGAAAATGAACGTTTATATTATAAAAAGAATAAGTCGAAATGTTTTCGTTTCTTTCTTTCTCTGTATTGTCTTATCTTTATCTATTTTCAGATACATTGTGTAAAAATATTTGGTAATTGTAAAATTATTATAATAAGTTAAAGAAATATCAAAACTGCTCAAATTTTTGGTGACCCCCTGCTGAGTCGCGACCCACAGTTTAGGAAACCCTGCGTTAGATGATCTAACGGACACCGTTGAACACTTCCTCTCGGGATCTTTATTTTTTTCTCTCTTGATGTGTATAAATAGTGCATTTACCAAAGGATTTAGTGTAAATGATTAAAAAGTTTTCCTGCTTTTTTTAAGTATGATGTAAATTCTAATGTAATTGCGAATTTTATCTGTATTTAAAATATATTAATTTATATCAGTATATTTATAGTTTATATTATTCGCCTTTAAATAGTAGCTGATAGAGCGTTTTTGTGATTAGTTTAATCTTTTCTAGATTAATGGTTTTTAAATTAATAATAAATGTAAATAAATATCTTGAAATTAAAGCATGCCGTGTGTTTAAGTAAAAGGAATTTTGTTTTAATTTTATGCAACAAAAAAAAAATAATAATAATAACTGGAATCTCTTTTCTGAAGCACTTATTTTATAACACAACCGTCAATTCATTTTCTATCACCTAGTGCAGTGCTTTCAAACTGATATTGGATCGGACAGAACGCGCGATCTGAAAACGGCTCACGGGTCAGAATTTATTTTCAACAAACTGAAAAAAAAATTATTAACAAAATAAAAACCATTTAAATAAATTTTAAAATTCCCTTACTAGATATTTATCAAAACATACATAAACAATAATAATAATATCGCAAATAAAAAAATCAAACTTATATTTACTTTCTGTCTGAAATCTGAAGTTTGCTATTAGTAAGATACTTTTATTGGTTACACTTTGTAATTCAAATATTTTGCTATCTAAATATTAAGTTCTTAGACTGAAATTTCTTTTAAAATATTCTAATATGCTTAATTAAGCATTAAATAACTTATTTTAATTTAAACTAAGAATAAACATATTATGAAAACTTTCTAGTTTTCGGAAGAAAACTAACAAGTGAGACAAAACTTGAGAATAAATAATAAAAATTCAGTCCTTCTCTCATATTTATTAAAATTGTCTTCGATGCATAAATAAAAATATATATTTTCGTATATAAACAATTGTAAATTTCTTAATTTTTTTAAAATAACTTGACACTTGATGGCGTTTTGTTTCT